AAGGAGGGAGATTCTCCCTGGCCCTCCTTTTGTCACTAACATATTTATAAAAGCTTCTTTTGTTGTCTTTAACGGCGGTGGCCAGTTTAAGTTCCAGCTGTGCCTTCTCCTTTCTGATCTTCTGCCTGCATATCCTCACGACATCCTGGTAATCCCCCTGAGTCACCTGCCCCTTCTTCCAAAGGTGGTAGGCTCTGCTTTTTTTCCTGAGTTCTAGCCAAAGCTCCCTGTTCAGCCAGGCCGGTCTTCTCCCCCGCCTGCTCGACTTGCGGCATATGGGGACGGCCTGCTCCTGTCCCTTTGAGATTTCCTCCTTGAATATGTCCAGCCTTCCTGGACTCCTTTGCCCTTCAGGACTGCTTCCCAAGGGACTCTGTTAACCAGACTCCTGAACAGCCCAAAGTCCGCATGCAGTTGGCCGGAAGAAACAGCACCAGGAATCTCAACCAAAGCAGATGAACACACTGGCCACGGGCAGGGAGCACCCACTGCCTCCCACCACAAAGCCTCCCCCACATCAGCTCTGGGAACCGGCCTGGGATGATGCTGTTCCTGTGCTCCCCCTTACGCTGACCAGGGCCGCACCAGAGACCAGGAGAGGACACTGCAAAACATTTCCATCTGTTGTGCCTGTTTGCTCCAAAATGTACCTCTAGTCAGTATGCTCAGGAAGTTGCAGACTGCAGATATTTAAAACTCTGAAATTCTCTACAGTATGATATCACTGAGCTCAAAACGCTACCTATTAAATGTATCAATGATCTGATTTTCAGAAATACTGAGGCACTTAAGATACAAGTACAAATATGTAGCAAGGAAACGAACAGCTTGTTTAGACCCTTTTGACCATCCTCAGAAAGCAAGATCATTTTGTGTTTACATACATTTGAAAGTCTATTCTACAGCTCTTTGACCAAAGTGTTCTCCTACAGCATTCCTTGGCCAGATCTCCTTTTTCCACTATATTATATAAATGTATAGATTAAACCCCAATGTATTAAAATTGTACTGTTAACCATTTAGGAATTACAAAACTCCTTTACAGGAAAAAAAAAAATTCTGTGAGATGGGACACTTCACTTTTGTGTTCACAGTGACAGCAAATGGATCCATCATAGCCAAACAGGGCAAGAGCAGCAATAATACCTTGTTATGCTTTCCCCACTAAAAGGAAAATGTTTAGTCTTTACTGATGAAACAGGAAACATATGAAAAAAACAGAAAGCCATGTTCCTGAACAGGTTACAAAAAAATGTCAGCTACCTTACCTAGACTTGAATTGCCTTTTGCAATAGTGATAGTCTTCTCATACATGTTCTTGACCGAATTTGGGGTTGCGGAACTTCCCTCCAAAGATACTGGGCATCTCTTTTCCATTAAAAGCACTTGATCCTAACACAAGGGAAAATAACATCAGTTCAGAATACCGAGATAAAAATAAGACTGGACATACTGACTTCAGCTTATCTTACCTTACACAAAAGCTAGGCGCATAATTAATACAGATTCCTTGTACTGAAATTGGAAAAGTCAGTCCATCAAAGATCAAACCAACATACATAAGGTTTCTATTTTCATTCAGGTAATATAGCAAAACTACCACAAAGTATGCTTTCAATTTAGGGACATCAGTTACACTCTTAAAATTAGTGGGATGAATTCAAGGGCTCTCAGGCTCGTTCACACAGATGTCTGACAATGTGCCAATGCTAAAGTAACAACAAATCTTGTAAGAAATTGCAGCTCTTTAAAGAATTTCTTAATAAATCACTGAATGGAAGAAAAAAGAAACACATGCCACAGTGACTGTCATATACAGGAATATTATGTTTGCACACTGTAGCATCACAGGTCAGTTTGTGAGGTGAACTGCACAGGCTTGCACAAACACCAGGATGCAAATCTTTCACACCACTGCCCCTTGGCTTCCCAGGCCTTGTTTCCAGCCGTGCACCTCCTCCTTGCGCCCATGCCTCTGGAGAGGTTAACAGCGGTAAGAAAAGGTCCCTGGCCTGCCCAATGGGTACACTGTGGTCCAGCAGTGTCTACTGCTGTGAGGTATGAGCAGATTTTTACATAACCCTCTATCACCAGTCTCTGGGAGATGACTATCTTGATGTCATAAATTATCTCCTGTTTTGGGTAGGTCTAAATCCTATGTTTTGATGTGAGCTACCACATCTGATGGACATTTATAATCAACCAACCATTCACGGCTGTTGGCCAGTGTCAATTTCTGTAGGAGATTCCATGGTTTAATATGGCCTTTCCATAGTTTTTTTTTTTAATTATTATTAAAAAAAAAAGTTTACTTTTCCAGTGGGATCAAGCTGCATGGTAGTAGCAAGGCTTGTACTTCGTGCAATTTCTGCTGTTGTCTGAGATCCAGTCCACGTTGCTGTGTTTTCACTTTCACTTTGGTTGGTATCCGAAACATCCAGAGGCAGAAGATCCGTTTTAGTAAAACCAGTTGTAGTTTCCAGGCTATTGCCCCCAGACTTTTGCTCTCTCACTCTCTGATTCAGATCCATGTTGAACAGGTTCTTGTCAGTTACACAGAAATCAGCTACAGCATTTGAACATTCCTCTCCAACAGACTGTTAAACACAGGGGACAATGAACAATCAACATTCTATTGTAGTATAACTAAAAAGTACATTTCATGCTAAAATCTTAAACAGAAACTAATCTCACAGAATTTAAACATATTTGTTGCAACATCAGTGTCTTCAGTACATCCCTACAGCCGTTTTACTATAAAATTTACTTGATTCCTCAGACAATTTCTTCTGTTTTAAAATACCAGAAATCAATGAAAATGAAGTTACTGCTGAAAGCCGAATTCTCATTTGGTACTCATCAATAAATATCCACTAATTTCATCAAAGTAATGTCCTCTCACACATTCTCAAACTAGACATAATGCTACCAAGTTATTAAAATTAAAGCTTCCAATTCTCTTTCTCAGGTAGAAGAACTTTGAAGGATCAAGGTCTTTACTTTCAAAACACTTAGCAAGCAAAGAAGAATTTCGAGAAGCTCAGACAACAAGCACACAATCTAATCATCCATTTAACTGAGTAGAAACAGATTTAGACATCCTTTCCATACAAAGAGGGAAAAGTAAAAACTCGGTCAAATCTCAGCAAAAAATGAACATGGAGGTTTAGAACTGTGACAACAACGAAATACAATGATGCAGTTACAGAAGCTTAGCAGTTAGTACTTATTTATTATTTATTTAGTCCTATTTTTTTATTTTTTATTTAGCCTTATTTATTTAGTCCTATGACGAGCAGCTGAGGGAACTGGGGCTGTTTAGTCTGGAAAAAAGGAGGCTGAGGGGAGACCTTATCGCTCTCTACAACTGCCTGAAAGGAGGCTGTAGCGAGGTGGGGGTCGGTCTCTTCTCCCTAGTAACAAGCGATAGGATGAGAGGAAACGGCCTCAAGCTGCGCCAGGGGAGGCTTAGGTTAGATATTAGGAAAAATTTCTTCACCAAAAGGGTTGTCAAGCACTGGAACAGGCTGCCCAGGGAAGTGGTTGAGTCCCCATCCCTGGAGGTATTTAAAAGACGGGTAGATGTGGTGCTTAGGGACATGGTTTAGCGGTGCACTTGGGTAGTGCTAGGTTAACGGTGGGACTTGATGATCTTTAAGGTCTTTTCCAACCTAAATGATTCTACGATTCTATTGCAAGTGTATTGATTATGGCTGCAGTACTAGGATTAAATTCTCTACACAAAATTTGTTCAGATTTTCAAGATTCCAAGGTCCTGCACTTCAAATATTTTCAGGGATTTCAATAATCACAACCTTCTGAAAAAAAATCTTCAAATATTCTACTAACTAACTAAATAATTTTAAAAACATGTAGGACATTAGACATTACAAAGATATATCAAGGACTTAGAGGTTGGACTTGAAGGCTCTATATCAATATTAGGGATTTTTCTCTGTAAATGTAGTCCTAAGAATATCTACCTCTTTCTGTCTTAGTTGTTATCCACTGGTCCTATTAATTCTTCTATTCCTTTTCCAAAAAGTAAGGAAAACATGTTTCCCAGGATTTTGGAATATTTTGCAACATTTTGTATCAAGGGCCTTAGAATTAGTTTTTGTCACCTTTCATGCAGTATGTACATGCCTGCTCTGTTCCCAGACAATCATCAAAAAAGGTTCACCTGTAAATAATTGGTTTAAGTAACATCTGAGAAGGTAACTGAGCAAAGCCTAAATATAACTAATGTGCATGATGTAATCAATGAAATAAATTTCCTATCTTTTGGAAAACACAACACCAGGACTATAATCTATTTAAATTATTTCATTAGGTTTCAAAGAATGCTGGGACATCTACTTTTAAGTCTGTTTTGTATCCATTTCCAAATCAGTGAAAATAAGACCCAGATCGTATTCAGTATTTATTCCATATGCCATACATACATATTAGAGCTGCAGCATATGCCCATTTTTATTTTTGTTTCACTTAAAGAAAAGCCAATGCTGTAATTTTTGAAGACAAACACGATTTCAGGAATTTGTAACTACAGCAACATGTGGCCTCATTAGAGCATTTGCATTACTTTGACTTTAACTAGTCTTTTTCTTCATCTATTTTAAAAGTGACACCAAAGGCATTCAGAACCTGCCAACTGCCCTGCAGTCAGAAATAGCTGAAATACCTCTGCATTCCTCATAGCATCTAATAGCAATTTTTACTGCATTTACTTGCTTCAAAAGCCTTCTTTTATGAACAGATTTTCTCACTATGTTTACTTTGTAAAGTCACTCATAACTGCAGAGTATAAAATGTTACTTGATGAGAACTTAATACTCATTTTATACTGGCGCACAGAAAGGAACATTGAAAAGTTGGGACTGTAATCTTTAAAAAACCATGTAAACCGAAGCCATCTTTAAGTCAATGCTGAAAATAACTTAAGACTTTCTAGAGCCTCAACATGATATATAATGTAAATCCAGCCTCTATCTCATAAAATGCTTCTCAGCATGCAAAATGCATAATCCGTTTAAGTAACAATTACAGAGTTAAACAATGCAATCTGTCCACTGGCACAGCAGAGATGTGCTCTTCTGTGGATTAGCAGAAACCATTAGAAGATGAATTTAGCTTTCCAACCAGTGCCTCGTAAAGGCTGAACATATTCCAGAAGGGATAAAAGGAGTTACTGCAGCTCAGGTGTGGAGGAAAAAGCAGCAGCTACTCTATTCAAGACCACAGACTGCAAACCCTGGAAGAAACCCTTACAATGTTGTTTTCAAAGATAACTGCTAGGAGAAATGACTTGGAAGACTCTGGATTAGCAAAATAAATCTACAGATTGCCAAGAGAAAGGAACATGAAAAAACATGGAGAGAAACACAACACCAACTCTGATACAAACAATCAAGTCTTTATGGGTATGTGACCAGCAAGAAAAAAGATACTGATCTTTGTAATACTCTTAAAGAACTTATCTTCATCTACTGACTTTAAATAGAAATTATTAGTTATCAGGGGTTTGATATATACAGATTTACTTTTAATTACAGTATCATTATGAACATTTCATTCAAGAACACAGTAAATGAATTAGCAAACATACTAGCTATGAAGCATAAAAGCAAAGCTTAGGATGAAAACTTACTCTTGCTTTTCATACCTAAAATACTGCAGAATAACGCAGTTATTTTGTGTTACCACTCTTTACTATGCTCTGAGGTAATAACAACTAAGTTTTTGTAGCAGACTGCTCACCACAGCTTTAACACTACAAACATCTCACCATACTTTACCTGGCTATACAAAACACAAATCCAAGCTTTCAGCCTTCTAGCTGCCTCTTTCTTCAACACAGATGTCTGAAAGACACCAGCACTACCCTGAACAAAACTGCACTTTTATCTGGTAACCAACAGTGCAGTTTGAACCAGGATGACAAAAAACATTTCTATCTAATAATACAGCCTTTTCACACTTAAAATCAAAGTTTGTCATCGATAAAACCACCCTCTTTTTTACCTTGGGAGTTGACAATGGAAGAGAGAAGCTGTAGTTCAGCTCACCGCTACCGGCACTGCCATGCAGAGCTATCATTGAAGCCTGGAAGACGTCACTCTCTGGCAAATACTGCGATTCAAAGGTGGACTCATCCGCTAGATCTGCCTCGCCAGAGTCCACCTAACAACAGAAGCAATTCAATCAGCCAGGCTATCTGTTACCTTCACACCACATAAGCCCCGAACACAGTAGCACCTCAGCCGCTACATACTGACTGACACTTTCCTTCTTTTTTTTTTTTTTCCCCTCCATGTTTTACATTGAAGTTATATTTGCACAGCACAGTGGGAGAGATTTCTGCTTCCAGTTACAATTCATGTTACTATGTCTTCAGAGGTTGCAAAGAATATATGAAGTAAAGTGAGAGTCTCAACTGGAATGAGTTGCAGGGCTGAGGCAGGCTGATACCTGCTAATAGAAGTATGAGGTGTTGGGAGAATTATGCTGTACTCAATGGTGTCAAAATTTTGATTTGTTTAGGGCTTTTTTTTTTCTTTTTCATTTTCTTTCACAAGAATTAGCACTGAAAAAATAATGAGCTTCACGTAGTGCCACCTGTCAGGAATCTCCACCCAACCCAATAGGTTCGGTTGCTCTTAAAAGGGTACAAAAAATAAAATTCTGGAAACTGCAATGTTTTCCAATACATTTAAAAGAAACATTTATAACATGATTTTTTTATGATTTCAAAAACATTTTACATTTGACAACAAGATTAATATGAACAATTCTCCTGTCTTACATGAGAAATAAAATTTTAAAAAGAGTTCCAGACATGGGCAGTATTTTTTGCCTTTTTTTTTTTTTCCTTAAATGAAATATAAATTTTTTCAAGAGTCATACACTTTCAAATAGTAGAATAAAATTAAGCCCTAAAAGACTTAATTTATGGTGCTTCACGTACTACACTTTGACCTCAATTTCTTCTCACCTAGTAGAGCTCAAGAAAGCAGTGCACACTAGCAAAAATGATCAGTGAGCTCAGAGCCATGACTATACCATAACCTTGTATGAAGCAGCCAAGTGCACCCATCTGCAGAGATGGGATCTAAGCATTGTTTTTCAGCCTCTGTGGTTAATCACACTATGAATTCATTATGTGAGATTCACAACAATAGGAATAGCAACAATCTGCAGTGATTCAACATATTGATTCCTTTTTGGGGTGCGAATGATCCATTTTTTATTGTCTCAACCCTAAACAGCTAAATCAAACTGCTCCTTTGGTGTAACTTACTCAGCCCATCTTCTGGAAAATGCACACTAGTGTTACCAAAGCTATGCCTTAAAAAAAGGACTGTGAAAAATGGGGACAGACCTGTAGAATCTGAGTGTAGATTTATCTATGAAAAACAGTATCTCATGAGTGCACTCTGCAAACACATCTTCAACTGGGTGACTGCACATTCAATCTAATATTTTGCACATTTAATTAGACAGTTGACAGAGTTGACAATTTAACCATATTATCATCTGCCACGTATGTTCATTGTTCTTTCACAATTTTAATTTTTTTGTATGAATCACACATAGAAGTCAAATTTTTAAACAGTTAAGCTTTAATCTGATCTTTAATTAAAGGATATTTACAATATATAACCTGGTTTCTTCATACTTCTCAATGAATAGAATAAGACAAACCCTATTATCTAACTACTGTACCAAGGTAACAAACTGCAAAAGAAAAAAACAGGCAGTCTTATTTAAAAGCAAGTTATTAAAACCAGCTTGTCATTTGCAAATGTGAAAAAATAGCAAACATACTGGAATCAGTAATTCAGAGATTTTTGCCTTGGAAGAATCCATTTCAAGTTTTGTTTGGTTTTGTTTTTTTCAAAATGAATTAAGTTCTTGTTTCTAGTAGAAACTGCTTCCCTACTCATATCCCCAGAAAATGAGGGCCGAGTAACTTCAATATCAGGCCCAGATCAGTACTAATAACCATTAGAAGACACGCTTGGAATATATTTGTATTCTGGGTTTGGGTTTTTTGAGGTTTTTTTTTGTTGGTGGTGGTTTTTTTTTTGTAGAGTCCTATTTAATTTGTCTTTTTAATCTGAGTTCTTACAGGTAACTTCTGGGATATGTAAGGCACTGAATGTTCAGGTAAGCCACATTGTTTGTACAAGTGAACGCCTTTTGACCTTGCAAATCTCATAATCACTGATTGATGCTGAAGTCTAAAGAATACCATTAGGAGGAAGCATTGGCAGCTTTTGAAGACAGACAGCATTCCTTTTAAGGCTGGCTTACATGCAAAAAAGAGAGTTCCAAAAGCTTTGCAAGGTAGAGAAGTGATGTATTACGATATATAGGTGAGGAGATTTATTTACAAAATAAGCAGATGAATGTTTCTCTACACAAGGTGAGATTTTCAAAGGGATACTCAGTGCATGCAAGGACAAGTGGGTACCCATGCACTTTTGAAAATCTCAGCAAAATACTTCTTTTTTTTCCAGCAACATATCATAGGCCAGGTTCATAGCTCATGCAAACAGCCAAAATTTCCAGATGTCAGTTTCTACCACGTGGGGATCCATCCCAACTATGGTGGATGAATAATGTGGTGACAGAAAACACTAAAAAATAAGCATGAACACTGACAAAGCAACCCCTTTCATTACAAAATGCAAAGACTTAAGAAATCTTTGGTAAGTTGGGCCACTAACCAGAGCCAGCTCAGCATGGAAGAGGGCTGCATCAGCTGGCCCCTCCTCCTCAAGTGATTGGGCAGTGTAGAAAAAGCAATCTTCCTTAGCAGAGACATAGCCCTCCTCTGGTGAAAGCTGCAGAAAGAACGAAGCTCTGAGTTGGATGACTGGCCAGGACACAAGGCTTGCAGAGTGCATTACGTGTGGGGCTTTAGAGAGGCAAATGAATTCCAAATGCAGCAAAGAGTTCATTCAATCACAGTCACAGTGTTGGGTAGGTAAAGAGACAATTATTTTTTTTCAAATTTACCTGAATTTATTCAGCTTCACATCTCATTTTACATCCCCAAATAATAAAAAAGGCCTATCCAGCTATACCACAGAATCCACAGCTAAGTCTAAACTCATTTTCAATTTCTGTTCTTATTAGACATATACTAAAACTGCCATCAGAGCTAGTAATCTTGTTAGCAGGCAGGAAGACTGCATCCACTCTCTGTGTTTTAAGACTGTATCTGCCAGGTGGTACAGCCTCAAGAGGACAAAACATAATTCTCACTATAAACCAGTAGCTTTTTCCAACATAATTTGATGCTAGGTGCATTCATTCAGTACTGCAAAGAAGCCAGTAATTATTCACAATGTTCAATTAATTGGCAAGCAGAATACGCGAAATATTAAAGTGCAAATGCTAAATGTTTACAAAATGCTGGAAACAGAAACAAAGCCCCCACGCACTTTCTCTTTTAGAGTGACATCTTAAGTATAAAAATGTTGATTTGCACGACACTTTAGTGTGTAACACAGTCTCCACTACAAAAAACGAATTTAATAAAACAAGCTAAAAAAGTTTCCTCTTACTATGAAAAGGAAAGTTTCTCGTAACTTAAACATCAGCCATTCTCTCCCACCCTCTCCACAAAGACCCACTAAGAATGAAAATTTGGTATCTGCATCCACAAGGATTACAAGATTACCGTTTCACGAAAAGCAAAAATGAACGCTAAAGACTGCACTTGGGCTTACCTATATAGTGAAAGGTACCTTCTTTGTATCTATAAAGTGATGCCATTTGAATTTAATTGAATGATTTGAATTTAACACGGCAGGGACACTAGCATCCTTACTGACAAGCTCTCTCAGTAACCCTCGGTCTCCTTCAACCTCATTCTTCTAATTGTTACAGACTACCTTCTAAAATCTAGCCTGAAATTATTTATGGCTATACTAAAATAACCAGCTTGAGGTATATGAACTGAAGACTACTCACCATTCTTTAAATGTAAAATGTGCAATCTAAATACAAACACTGCACATGTACTATACCTTGCAAAGCAAAGGAATAGGCAAATTCCAGGCAAATCACAAAAAATTGCCTTTATGTCACCATCTCACACATTCAGACAGTCTTGTAAAGTGTACAAAATTATGCCTGGCAACTTGCAGCCCTGAAAGACTGTGCTGGCTGCAAGACACTTCACTGTTTTCTCAGCTGCAAGACAGGTGTGCTAGGTCCTGCAATCACTACACCAGTCATATGCTACACAGGCCACTCCTACATGCAAGGAGATACAGGAATCTGTCAAAGACAGTTTCTGGTTGTTTTGAGTCATCCAGCTGTACTCCAAAGCACACAAAGTGTATGCAAAAGTCAGGATCATCATGTACCACTTTAAATGACATGTAAAGTACCCATCAAATTCCCAGATCCTTACAGGCAGTGGTTTGGCAACTCCTATTTTAACTGTTCCTGCTGGGGCTCCTTTCAGTGCTTGTACCGCTTCTTCTAGGCTGCCATTTTCCAAGTTGATATCGTTGACAAACATAAGCCGATCTCCGGGAAGAAGTCTGCCATCTTGTTCAGCCACACCCCCAGGAACTAATGAGCGAATCACAATTACGGTGTTTGCTGGATCAACAGGATCCTAATTAAATAAAAGGAAGAAGAACATGTCATTTTATTTACTCTTTTCTGTCTTGAGAGGCTAATTTTTATGCAGATTTGGGTTATTAAGAAATTGGAGCTCTGCTCCAGATGAACCCTTGGCAGGAATATACCCTCCTGTCCATACTGCCCATAAGTTTAGACTTCCACCTATTTTTAATTCTTAAATGTGAAAATTATTACTCCTTTCTAGGTGGCGTCCCATCATATATCTCCAGCATAAAATACAGTTAAATTGCAGAGTGCTGTTCATACTGTAATGAGTAATTACACACCAGAAATTCAAATACTTCCTACTGCAATGACAGCATTGCAGACTTCATCCTCCGTTACCCTCAGTGGTTTAGCACTACATCTGGGCAGTGCAGCCTGGGGCAAAGTTAACGTGCACTCCGGTGGAAAAAAGGGCTTATTTTCAATAACGCTCTTATACTTCATGGCACCACATCTTGCTCAGCTGAGAAAGCACTTTTATTTAAGAGGCAAGTCCTTGTGCATGCCTAATTAAACACTTTATGGGAGACAGGAACATACCAATATAGCACTCTAATCAACAAGACACAACAAAGTTGTATTTGCTTTTGAAAAAGAAAACTGCTTTGAAGTCCCCATCCTTCAATGCACTGATTTTTATAAAAATGCTAGCATCAAATACTAAGAACAGGAATGTATGATTCTGTTATAACGATTACCACAGGTGCACACATTTGCATGGTTCTTATAGAATTACATTCACAAGGAACATCATTACGTTAATACTTCCAACACATGGCAATTCACTTGAGTGCATGCACAGAAAAAAACGAGAAACGTAATAATGTACCAGCTTTACTGATAGCAAACGGAGGAGAAAAGCAAACATCTACGAACTCGCACACAACTGTAACAAGTTTCCATGCCAAGATGTACATCTGAAAGGATGCACACCACCAAGGCAGCACCCAAAACCACAGGACTCGAAGACTGATGAAAGCTAGTGTGAGAGAGAGGCACTGAGAGAGGGAGAGAGGGAGGGAAGGACACCAAGAAGACCCTTAACACTTCATGGCAGTTAATGCAGTAAGAAGAATGCCATGGAGCAATAAAACACTTCACAAGTGGCAATACAACTAGCATTGCCGGAGATAGTGCTTAAGCCTGAACACTGAATCTTCCTCTCTAATTATCAACAAGTATTTACACTGCTGCTGTAGATGACACTGCATGACACATTTTTTGAAAAAAAATCACCTCTCTAGTATATGTGATAGCCTTCCCTGGGGTAAGAAATTACATAGACTTTCCTACAGACCTGCCATTGTACATGAGGAATGTGTTAGTATGAACATGAGGAACGTATTAGTATGAACACGACTGTCCCTTAACTTCAGTCACTATTCATTGAAAATTAATTGAAAATTTGATGGAAACAGCAAAACACAAAGATAAATCTCACCGAAAACTTGTTCACAGTCTTAGATGAAAGAAATTTCAGGGACAAAATGACATGTTTTAACTACATCTCAAAAGAGAGAACATAGGTCAAATTGCAAATACGACAACATCAAAAAAAAGTAAGTTTCAGAAATCTGACTACAGCTGTAGGATACAATCAAATTCACATTTGCAAAATACATAAACCAATTCAAGGTACTTCCCACAACCCTTCAGTATTACCATCCATAAACAAAATTCAGTAACTAACCACATAGGCAACCACCACTTGTGTCAACACTTCAGAAGAGGCTGAATCAAAAATGTGCTTTACTTTGTGCCGACATGGACTCCAAATACTCAGGCTCAGCTATGGTGTCTCACTGCACAGCATTAGTACACATTAAAGGGTAATCACTGTTTCATAAAACAGATGCTTGACTATGCCTTTATCCTTCACATTATTAAACTACACTGCTCTTCACCTTTATCAGTGTGCAAACGCAAAATTCTACTGAGGCATAGATTAATTCTAAGCAGTGCCCTGTGGGCATAATTTCCACCTGGAAGTGACCCCCAGATGTAAATGCATAGACTCTTAGGGACAAGATGCAGCAGAGACCTGGGTAGAGACCGGGTCCTGCAGCACCACCAAACAGCTGGGGAAAAGCCTACGTTGACTGCAAGGAGAAATTACTTGACTGTGAACAGATTAAAAATTACCCACTGTGACAACCAGGAACAGAAGAAACATTTGTTCTGGGATCCTGACCAAGTGCAGGCAGGAGACAGGCACTGAGCTGTTCACTGGGACACACCAAGAATCATAGCTTGAGATATCCAGGAATTTTGAAGTCAAACACAAAATGAATGGGGGCGTTTAGGCACATCCTGGACAAACAGCAGTTAAGGAAGGGATTTCAGAACTGCAGTTCTGGATTTTAGTAAATCCTGCTTTAAGCACCTAAGTCCTTTATTGGATCTTGCTCTAAGCACCTCACTGCAGGTGCAAAATACATGGCTAAATGCCTGAATAATCTGACTACATCATTCATTGCCCCTGGGGCACTAGCAGATGAGCTTTCTGAAGACCCTAGTACATTATGGATTATCTATTTTTCTGGACCAGTACTACCATTATCATCAGAACCTGCAGTCTTAATACAGTAAGAGGAATAAGTAATGTAGCTAGTGGGATGCCTACCACTAGTGACATCCATTTAGCTTTACTGTATTGGTTGGTTTCCATTAACATTTAGCCTTAAAATACATACTTAGACCATATTGAGAGATCCAAACAATACAAAGTATTTCGTCCTCTACTCAAAAAAAGGAGTGTTGAAGTTACCTGGTAGTCCAATATGCTAAATCCAAGTCCCATACTCCCTTTCTCCAGCTCAATGTGCTGTACTTCTGTTTCCCACATGGCCAAGGACGAGCTTTGCACCTCTTCCATACTCTGACCCTCGTCAGCTATTGCCAAAGGTGTTCCCTCTGTGTCTGAGGAGCCAGTAAGTCCAAGTTCTACGTGAGCCTGAGAAGAACAGTGAATGTTCACCAATAAAATGTAAATGTTTGTGAATCTGCAGAGATAAAACTCTGTTCAGCAAGAACAAGATAAAAACTAAGTGATGTTTCTTTAAACACAGAGAAAGTGCAAGCACTCAGCAGAGTTAACAAAGCAAGCTGATAAAGCTAGCACAGAATTCACATATCCTTGTAACAAAATAGCTATGTTACAAGTATACAAAAGTACGCACTGGAAAAAATATTTACCAAATGGAATTTCTGTCAAACTAAAAACTTCAGAAAACTTCATTAGTACACGTATTCAAATATACAAGAAATATCTGTTATTAAACAGTATGTCTAAAAATATGCCTTGATCTAAACATAGTAGCACTGACTATGGGAGTCAGAACATTTAAAAAAAGAAAACAGAGACACAGACACACACATACATAGGCATATATATTTTTCTCTTCCTTTGGTTTCATAGAAAAGCTTAGCAACAATAAGCTGAATTTGGTGCCTTGCCCAGAACTCAGAATTAACCGTGTCTCTTTTCATACAAATGCTATTGCTTTGTATACTACACGGCAGAACATTCCAACATGTTTAGTACATCAGGCTGCCCAAAGCTTTGCACTTATGAGTGATAGAAGTGTGTCTGCCAGTGAATGCACACACAGTTCTGCACAACATAAACCCAGAAAGCAAAGCTGAAACCCAGATTAAGTATATTCATATTCTAAAGAACACACAGTTCAGTTTGCCATACCCCCACAGCCCACCTGCAGAACAGAAGCACTTGGGTAGATAGACCTGCATCCCAGAATATTTCTGCTCATGACCTACCAGGATTGACATCTTCTGGTTGGCCTAAAGTACGGTTGATGAACATAATTTGGCTTTTTCTATTTATCTGGTTCCAAGTCCTAAAATATTAAAATGTATTTTCTAACCTTGTACAAGAACTTTGCATGTTTTTTCTCAAGGAAATGGTCATTTTCTCAGTAATTTTTTTTAAGACAAAATACCTTTTCTGTGAGCTGAACCTCAGATAGACTTAGACTCTCCAGCACTTCTGGGTGAGCAATGGGGGGAGCTACTGGACGACAGCACACCATTGTCACCTTAATAGGCAGTTCTTTCAAGATATTGACCACATCCTTGTGGTTTTCTCCAAGCAAAGAGATCTCATTCACCTCAATAAATAAAGAATACACAGTGTTGAGAAGTACAATGAACAAAAATGGGTAAAAATAAAAAGCCCAACCCACTAATCACCCGATTTAAAAAAAAAAAAACAACAAACACCACGCTAATGGACATCGTCAACCCTTAATTTCTACTCAATTTGGTGCTTAGAATCAGCACCAAGATAAGTTTTGAACTGAATGGGTAATCTCATAAATTGCATGACGCCACCCTACAAACACCACATACTCTGTCACTTCATGTTTCTTGCATTCATGTGAACCAAATTCCCATTTTAATTCTAAGAAAATGATTTAGAAAAGTAAACAGGTGTTTAGTCCCTTCATTGTGTAGAGATATTCCTATTAAATCTTAATGCTTTTGCTAAGTATTCTTTTTTGGGGACCTTGAACCATATCTGAAAAGATCAGCTATCAGCTGAGAAATGCATGTACACATATGCATTCACATGAATATGCATAAGCACATACGCAGTGACTGCTCAAGCACTTCTGGTTACAGCTGGTATGCAGTTAGATATGCTACATTCCCATAGCCATAACCTGTGAGAAGCAAGTCACTGCTCAAAAATCTTACTGAATGTAGACTAAGATAAAGTAGTATTTTTTTCTTACTTCCAGCAGCTCATCTCCACTGAACAGCTTGCCACTTCGTCCAACTGGCCCCTCCGGTAAGATAGATCTGATGAAATGATGTCCCACTGTAGCTTCAAGGCTTATCCCTAACCCACTGCTTTCGCTAAATTTGTTAACTACAGCCACCTAGAATAAGATTAAGAAATGGTTACTTTTGACGTATTTACAGCTGTACCTGTTACTTTCTGTTTCAATTTACATACAATGAGGGGAATATTCCAGAAGTGAAAAACCAGAAATAGTCATGTGTAATGCAGACTTTTAGACTGCAAAAGCATCCGAAGTTACTAACTTAGGTTTTTCAACACTGAGGGAAATAACAGCTGCAGCAGCTTAATAGAAAGAACCCAACTTTAACTTCCCAGCAAGATGAAAAGCGTTGAGAAGGAAAAATACCATATAAAAACTAAAACCTGAAGGCTATATTTGGTGCAAGTTGTACGATCATAAAATAGATGACTATTCTAGAAAGGAAACTACTGTTACAGATTCACAGAGTGTTACCCAGGAACCACAACAGACCAAAACACCCTGCCTGGTGTAACACAATTGTGTTGCCCCATGCATGTGGATAGAAAGAAAGCATCACAGACCTACTCTTTTACCTGCCTTTACGAGGTGCTTCAGACTCTTATGCAAGAACAAGAAAAGCTCCTTAAGCACAGAAACTGAAACACAGCTCAATCCAATATCGTCTATGACAGATGGGAAAGAGGCTCTGCAATGCATTTGTGCAAAAATGCGACAAATGCTTGGATCAGGGGACAATCAGGTAAAAACTGAAACTTTGATCACATAGCACTTCAGCATAAACAAGGGGGAACTGTATATGACAACAATATATCTAATAATACATACTTTTGCAGAGACTACAGCTCTGGCATATAATTTTGAAATAAAGTCCTAAGTTCAGATACTCGTTTTCAACTGTATCTACAGTAAATGTCCTATGCATTATTTAGATCATTACATCAAACAATTCATTCAGTATGCAGAATGGGTAGGATGTTTCAAGCACTAGCTTAAAATTCTGGCTTATGAAGGGAGTTTTGAAGTTCACCTTAAATATTACGTCTTCCTTTAATACACATTTATCCTCTTGAAGCTAGGAAATCTGTGGAACAGTACTCATAGGCACAGTAGCCTAAGAAGCCTGTGATTATTTTGCTAAAACCAATACAAAAAAATATATATCTATATTCAACATTTATAATCAAAATAAAATAATCTCAACAGATTAGGAAGCATATGTATAATTTTTATAAACAAAGGAACAAATTCAGTACAAATGTATTTGTATCCGTATGCTAGCAACATAATAGGTGGAGAGATCAAAGGGCATTTAGTAACAGTAATCAAAGTTTACCTACCACTATTTCATAATTTGAACCCATAATCCTCTGCCACTTTGCCTTCGTAGCTGCTTCTTCTGTAGTAGTTAGCTGGAAATCTAAAAGTTATGTCTCAGATTACTGTGACAAAAAGTACAACATCCTATCTCTTCCTATAACTGATAAAGTATATGGAACATGCAAGACTACACAATCATTCCCGTGATGCCAGAACTCTCCTAAATATGACTAAACAATTGACATGTTTTGTCTCACCAGGCTTGGGTTTAGCAGAGGAAAAACTTGGGAAATAGTATTAGATCCCACACCCGCAAAACTAACTATATTTTGAAAGACATGAAGTTCAGTCAAAAAGTCTGGTGTGAATGGCTAGGAAGAAAGGACATATATCTAAACTAGCTTCAGTGTTGACTGAATTTAACGCAACTTTACAAGATAATGGGCACAAAGAAGATGAAAAAGTTACGTGCAGTTACATTTGTTACAAAAGTTGCATTTGTTAAACCAGACTGTATGTGGGTGGATCAGATTGATTCAGGGGAATGGCCAAAATACTGACATATGTGATAGTGCATACTCATCCTTTAGGACAGACCCTGCATTTTACAGAGAAAGTCCATGGAAAGTTCTCAAACAAAATCTGGAGGTTTTGTACTTTCAAAACTATGAGCACAACTGTAAAAGATTTTTTGAAACTGTAGGCCCTAGAGGGCAGTGAGAGAACTCAAGTCCTAGCTTTTTTTTTTTTTTTTAAGATTCACATACACACATACAATGAGAAATAATTCTAATCACTAAAGAGCAGAAATGAAATTGGAAGGAAAGGAGGGGAGAAAAGTACTGATGCCCTGAAAATACAATGGCAGGCTAGGCAGCAAACTGCACCAACTCTTAACTTGATTGAAAGTTTATCTGCAGGTTGAAAAAACAGAGAAATGCTTTCCTCCTGCTTATTTTCCCCTCATTCACACTGTTTAGATTCCAGGGCAGGAAGCAATAAAAAGCAGTATTTAGATAAAACAGTCAGCAAACACAGCAGATTTAACAGGACCCTACATATTCAAGGTCCACAGTCTGTGCTGTGCCTACAGTAAGTATCAAAATAAATACTTCATATCTGAACGCTCATCATAGGCAAAGACTAGAATCTTCATTACAAGATTAAGTTTCCAACTCCCACTGACTTTTAGTAAGAATTTAAAGTCACTAACAGCCTCAGACAGTGTTTTAAATCTAGCCATTGCTCAGAAACATTACTAAAAATAAAGCCAGGTATTGTGTGGCATTCACATAAGACAGTATTTTCCCCAAAGCAGAGACCTTGCAGTATCTGAAGGAAAGGTGTTAAAAAGAAATTCTTCAGCTATCTAGGGTAACAGAAAGCATGAGTTATGAAAAGATACGTATTACAGAACTCATATGGGTGATGCTTTTCAGTTCCCTTATAGCTCTGGAAGCAGGAAAGTGTTAGAAAACACATTAAGTGCTGTCTCAGTCTGGAAAACGTAGGACTTCTGAAATGCAGCAGAATGCACTAATAGCTCAAGAGGGAAAGGAAAATCCCCTTTAGAAAGTAAGAATTTCCACAACCAGTATGGAAAACGTCAGAGCATATCAGTGCACCAGAACTGACTGAATTTCAAACGTTATCAGAGAACACAGATTGAAATGAATGCAAGCTCAGGAATTTGTGAAAAGTAAGTTTATCAGAAGAGGTAGAAGTCCTGGAACTGCAGGTGGGCAGCTGCAGGCAGCTGGAAAGGTAAGGCATGTTGGGGAATGAGGAGGGGAAGAAGTTTAATACACAACTAAACTAAAAAGAGTAGAAATACAAAACTAGACTAAAAAGAGGGCTGAGAATGTAGCAAAAGCATACTGCTTCACGTGACAACTTTGACACGTAATTGTTTTCAGAAACATACAGTAGTCAATGATCCTACAGCACTCGAGTACATGCTCACATGTATGATTACTTTCACTTTCTAGCTGTACCTCAGCTACACAGCACACAGGAGATGGAAAGGCACACAAACACTTTGTCTTTGTGTAAGCACACCCAAGTGCATTTTCACACAATAAAATATTAAACGTTGCAAACCTGTTTCCTGTTGTTTCACGTCCTCCCCAATATTTACCACACTGGCACTGCATGACAGTGATGGGGATCCCTGTTCTATTTCACTGTTATCTGGAAAAAGAAGCAGCAGCCTTTTCAGCAGTTTTATACGTTGTAATATTCATCAAGTTCACAGGCATGCCTCAGGGCACTGACTCTATCTTCCACTGGACTTCAGAGGATCCATATTCAGCAAATGGAATCTGGCATGAGAGGCCCAGAAGAAATGCCATGTTTTAAAGACATTTTGTCTTCTGTTAATGTTTTGCCTTCTCCAGTGAATTTTTCAATGAAATGAGAAAAAAAAAAAGCACAACTGTCAGTAGCTGTACCTCTATGACTGAAAGAAAAGTTACTGGAAAACACAGAACATTCTTTAGCACCCTTGTATTGCCTTTTTTTTTCCTTGCTCATCTTTCCTTTGTACAATTCAGGAAGCTGGCACCGAAAAACAAAAATGCTACAGACTCGGAGACGTGCATACCTGACAGACTTTTCACTTGTAGAAAGCCTCTCCTACCACAGAGTTCTGTTAGGTATGTTGCTGGCTGTCAGCTGTCTTGAACACCTCTAGGCTGGAGAAACAGCACTTTCTGAGCATTTCCTCTGTAAGTTTTGCTGAAGGTGAGAATGAGACGATGCCATACAGATAACATACTAGTGGGTCTTTTGAAATCTTGTGCGAGGTGGGGATTATGCTTCAGTTTATGAGCTGTGATATACTTCTGCTGACATCACCCTATAGCACAAGTAGCTGAAAAAAACCTGTGCATCCAGCCTCTATGCAGATATTCCATTTAAACACACTGACTTTCAAGATCTGGCACATATACTTCAAGATGTGCACAGTAGAGGACTAACCTTCACTAATCTCGTCTCATCAGCAGCAAAATTAATATTGGTCATTGGCTTGTGAACTTTGTACACAAATGTAGTTAATGACCTATTAGATTATTAATAAGCTCTAGATATAGGCCACTCCTCTCACACCTCGAGCTTGTGACATTGACATGCAAGAGTGAAAGGAACAGAGACTTGCTTTGGTCATTGTGGAGGGCATCTCTTTGCTTGCTCTTGAATGCAGCTCTCTCCCTTGAGCATGAATAAAACATTCATTGCCTTCTTACCATTTGAAGATTTGCAGGATCAAAGTCTTGAAGCAATTCAGCCAGAAGTGCAATGCAGTGCAGAGCTTTCAACGCTCACTTTGAAAATGTAGCAAATGACACCACTGTGTCTGAAAGATTAATCAAACCATAGTAGACCAAATTCTCCCCTCATGTACAGCAGCTCTGCTATCAGTAACAGCTACCCAGAATGAATCTGGCCCATTTAATTTCCAGTTTGCAATTGAGAAGAAAAATGTTTCAAGCCAACTTTAAAGCAAAGCCAGTTTTAATTACCTTTGGCTGTGCTACTATCCGTAGTTTGGAACAGTAAGTCCTTTTCAACAGCAGCACTGAAGTCCTCCTGGGGCTGAATATGATTTTCCTGCTTAAGCCCTCTTCTTATCAGAGTGAGCCGAACCGTTTGTCCCGTGTGCCGCAGAACGTCAACTGCTTGCTGGTTAGTAAAACCCTGAAGATTTGTTCCATCCACCTGCAGGATTAAGCAGCTTTTCAGCCCGCAAGAAACCACCCAGAAAAAAAAAAAATGTCCAGAGCAAAATAATATGGTGAGCTCTCAGCATTTGTTATCCTGAGCACAAAGCAAGCAGAAGGACAAGAATAAAAACCTGGACAACTTCATGACACTGGATACACTAAGCACTTCCACTGGAGTGCCCCCCAACTAGGAAACAACCAGTACCGCAGCAAAGTGGGGAGAAGTGCTTTGGGTGCCCACCACAGCAGGGCCAGGCAGACCTGCTCTGCAAGGTGAGAGAGGACACAGCACATGCTGTGGGGGGCACGCTGTGCAGCCTGCCTGCTCGACCGCTTCAGCCATCCCCACCTCTGAGGAGAAAACACTGGGTGAATAAACTAACACAGCCATGGCTGGGAGATCTGGGGAGGAGAGGGTGAGGAGAGACACATCCGTCCGCTGTGGTAAAAAGAACTACAGAGTGCAGCCGTTCTGAGGCCAAGTAACCTCAGACACAGTGAAGTCTACTACTGAACACCGTGAAGTCCAATTTCCCAATCAACCACTGTCCCAGCCAGACAGATGTTATCTCTGGTCCATCATTTTAATATTCTAAAGAACAAGACTTTTTGCCTCTTCTGTTTGAAGCTACCCCATTATCTCATTAAATCAGGGGTTTTTTTCTGAAACTCAAGACTTTGGCATTGCTCAATTTCATCCCATTTTCCCTCGTATGCCCCACTTTTTATTCTCTTTCTCCCTGCAAACTCCATATTATCCTATTCTTTCTCGGTCTTACCCCTCAGAGCCTTTAATTTCTGAAATACTTTGAACAATACTATATTCCTTGACTCCTGTAGTTGTTTCAGTTTATCTATACAACATGCATATTCCATTATTTTAATTCCTCCTGCATTAAGAATTACTCCTCCTGGACCCTTAATTATTTTGTTGCCCTTCTCTGAACTTCTTCCAACTCTGGTGCTCTTCTAAATATAAAGTAATTAAAAATGAGCTGGGGTTATTTAATTTTTCCTCCACAGTTAAGCAAACCATATTTAAAAAATGTTTATTATTCTTTTGTCTGAGGTCACTCAAAACTTTTTCTCCTTTTGCATCTGCAATAGAAGAAGACATCAAACTTTGGAATAATCAATTTTAGCCATTTATACTCAGCATTTAAATCATTATAAAATCCATATATACTTCCACATACAAACATGTAGGCATGTTTGTACTTGGAGAGTGACCATAACTTGTTCTTAGTGCTGCCTTCGCACAAATGCAAGGCCAGATCTATGACAGCCACAAAAACGTGGTTCCTGCACTCATGACTCGATTTTCACCACACAACTAACATATTATGCATGAGAATATTTTCTTCTTTCTCTGAACATCTAAAACTTTAATGACATACTTTTAAATATCATTTTGAAAACAGTTGCTTAATTTGAATCAAACTTTGAAACTTTGCCTTTACTAATCAGTTTCAAAGCTCCTACTGATAAGACAACACAGATTTTCTTAAGAAACACAAGGTACTCACAAGCAGCGTAATAAGAAACATAATGTGGCTGAATACTGAGTCAAAAAAGGATGTACCATTTCAACACCAATCCTAAGTATTTTAACTGTGTACTATATCAGCATTTCTTTACTACTTAAAGAAGTAAAGTTTTGCAGACAAGCAATCTCAATTCTTTCTGTGTTTACTTACAACTATAATTTGATCTCCCACATGGATTCTGCCATCATGTTCAACAGCACTGCCTTTTGTAATGCTTTTCACAAAGATACCAGAAGCTTCTGGGATGAAGAAACAGATAAAATTAAATCAACTAATTTATTAAGAAACAATTTAAATAATGCAACAATCTCCAACTAATGGTACCAGCCAAAGGGAGAAGAAGAAAGAAAACACAATCTCCAGGTAAGATGAGGCGAGAATCATCAAGAAAGTATATGCTTTAAGAAAAATACATATATTATTATTTTCCTAAAGGATGAGACTGATTAATGTCAGCTTGCATTGGACCAGATTTCATTCAAAATCTTACAATGCCAAATTCCCAATTCTTGCTGCAAAGGAAGAAATATTCTAACTTACTTTAATCTAAATGTTGAAACCAACACTGAAAAAAATGCATCTCTGACTCTTGGTCACATTTAAAACCACAGAACAGAAAATGCAGTTTGAGTACACTAACCTGGTAAATTCTGTATTTTCTATGTACTTCATAACGGCTTAAGAAAATGCATGCTTGGATAACCAAATGCAGAAAATTACAAGCAAGCAGGACCATAACTTACATTTGAACCAGCTTTTAACTACAGCTGAAAGTCACTATTTGATCCAATTAAAAAAAAAAAGACACAAAAGAAAAAAATGAACCCAAACCCCAAAACAGAACCATTTTAGACAATTAATGATTTTGAATCACAAGGGGAAGTTATATATATCTATATCTGTATCTATATGTATTACCTACAGAAGGGACATTTTACAAAAAGAAATCCATTTCAGGAAAAACACACTGGAATTTGAAACAACTTCAACAGCTCACTAAAGTGAAAATCTATGGAGTTCCTACATGCACATTTTGCATAGTATACATGAAATCAAGAAAAGTACTAGCATGAACTGGCATGAAATCATGTCTGAGGGTCACAGCTCTGTAACATTGGTATCAGAAATCTTAACAGAATCTATTTTCTCTCAACAAATGTTCCAACTCCGTTAAATGAATATGTTTGACAGAAAGATAATCCACTACAAAATGGGTTTTAACAGCTGTCAAGACACCCTAGTGCCTTGCAGACCTGGAACATCCTTTACTGGGCCTCAATATGACAAAAGTTAGCAGGAAGGAGGGCTAAATCTATGTTTTGCTCTAACTCTAATTTGACTATATTCAGCTTAGGAAGAATAAGACTACAAATATATTTAAGTCATCACATGGACAATTCTTTTCTGTTTTTTCGTAATTTGTTGTTTTCCCAGATGTCGTGGTTTACCCCAGCTGGCAACTAAGCACCACACAGCTGCTCACTCACTCGACCCACCAGCATGATGGGGGAAGAGAACCGGAAGGGTAAAAGTGAGAAAACTCATGGGTTGCAATGGTGGAGTGCGGTGAGAAGAAGAAAAGGCCTTGACTCTGTGTAAGCCCTGCTGAGCAATAACTAAAACACCCCTGAATTATCAACACTGTTTCCAGCACAAATCCAAAACATAGCCACATACTAACTACTATGAAGAAAATTAACTCTACCCCAGCCAAAACCAGCACACCATGTTTTGTGAATAATTAAATGGCTGGTCTTCCTAACTTCCGAGCATTTTTATATGCTGTAACAGCTATATGGTAACATGACAAGCTGCTATTTGTCATTCATTAAGGATTCAGCCGCAAATCTTGCTGTCCAGTACTTTCAGATCTATCTGTCTATCTGTCTTTCAAATCTTGCTGTCCAGTACTGTCAGATCTATCACATATTCTACAATTCAATTTGCCTTTTAAACATTCAACTGGAAGCTGCTAAAGAGTGGACTTACACAAACTGTGGCCATCCTGTCTTATGGAACAAGTTGTTAAAATTTAGTCCAGCTTCTCAAAGCCAACAAATTATGTCTATAAACTAACAATAACATGGGATATATCTATCCGTATGTTTTTCTAACAATATATACATGGGTAAAAGTCAAGCCAACAGCTCTTGGAGAAGTATTACAACACATTCAACAACTGTCCCTTCCTAGCAGTATTGCATTTGCCAAATCCCCCCTATGGAGGCCTAACAAAGTTCTGGATCGTTTTTCTGAAAAATGTAGTGGAAATTAAAAAGTAAAAATACACAACTGTATGTGAATGCTGTTGCATTTATTTATTTAAATTAACTTACTTATTGGCTGCAACAGCCCAGAGGTCAACAAACATTTATTATATCCAGAAGTCACTAAGGAATTCTTGATCTGCCAGCAGTACTATATACATTGTTTAAAGAAAAATAACAATACCTCCTAAAACTACTCAGAATACTAATGTATTACCTTGTAAGAACCTTCTAAAAATGAAAATGTAATTTACAAAGCCCAGCCAGTTTTAACAAAAACGGCTCAATCTATTTTAGAATTGGTTTGCAAAAACATACAAGCACAACCTTTAGCCAAGAATGCTTATAAAAATTTATTAAAAAATACTGAGGTGGGATTTTATAATAAAACTGATTGCTTCTAATCTCAACGTCCTTCTCACAAAAGGAAAACAATTCATTTTTCTTTATGAACTTTAAAAAGATTTTAGATGGTCAAGGTTTTTCTTAGAGATGCTGTACCAAAATTAAAATTAAGTCTTCGATGCACATACACCATAGTAATCAAAAGATTGTATAGCAAACTGCAGGAATCAATCATTACCTGATGTTTTGTCTCCAATGTAACCCGCAATAGTTATTCCTAATCCCTGGTTGTTTTTAGTGAGTTCAACATTAAATTTCTCCCCATCTTCACAGCTATCAACAGAAGCATCTGCCTAATAAGAAAAGCATGATTAGAAAGGAAGCTTTTTTTTTCTTTAAAGATCCACCACATTCTTTGATGTCATTAACATGTAAAATTAGACACAAATGTAAAAAGAAAGTACCAACTTTGCTTCTGCTCTTACTTGTTATTCAGCAGAGAAAACAGACACAGGTAACATTCCTCACTGTAAAGCCATGCAGGTCATGGTCTCTGTTCCCCACTGCCCCTGGATATTACCCTCTGAGCTGTAAAATCATTATTTGATGACTAAAGTGATTTTATTTGATGACTAAAGTGCCTGGTGAAATTTGCACAAATTGAACAATGAACCTCTTGTACAGTAAGTTACATAAACTATGCTTAAATGTTAGAATATGTAGCTTGCTGCCTTTCTGGGACCTTCTCAGAACCAGCTTTAGACTGCTGTGTTATTTAAAAGAAGAAAAAAGATCAAAACTATATTTTGTATTCTATTTGTTTAAATGCCTCTTTAATAACTATAGCTATTTTTTTCTTAGGCATTCCAAGTTTAAAATATAATAAAAGCTATTTCTATTGAGGCAATTATGCTCCTTGTTTTTGAAAGACTTAAAAATTCTGTTTTAGAAAGTAGCAATTATACTTCCAGCTAGTTAAGTAATGACAATCTCCGCTAACACCTACTACAGCCCTCTGAATTTCAATAACAAAGAATTTTTGGGATAATTAATTGATTTATTTATTGTTAATGAAAGTATAATACCTATTAAAATTCCATTTCAACAATATTGGTTTTGTATTAAAAGAAAAAAATCAACTTATAAAATGTAATTTCAACTTTTTAAAAGTTTTTTTTAATAATTTTTCATCTTTTAGCTGAAACAGATACATACTAGCCACTTCCATAGCTGCTATATATCAGTATATGATTACATATGCAAGGCCTCAATTTCATTGTATTTATATGGACATCAATATCTATGAACATATTTAAAATGGGAATTCATAAATATAGTACAGATCTATCAAGATCCTGCTATACTCCTATTTTATTCTGTCTCTTCCGCATGACAAATATCAGCTAATATTTTTTGAAGTGCCAATATGGCAACCAGGCAGATACTAACTAAACTCAGTTTGACTAGATGAGTATGCATGTGTCAAAAAAAAAAAGACTTCAGGAGAGCTATGATGCTACTTCCCAAAGGGAATCTGACTTCAGTTCTTTATCTGAACAACTCCACCCAAAACCACAAACACAGGAAGAATAAATTTTTACTGCTTTAACTACCTTTCTCCTTGATAACACAGGATTATTTTGGCCACAGGTAATGTCACTAAAAAACTGCTCCAACTTCCATAACCTCATGAATTTTTACAGGATAGACGTCTACAGGGGACATGATGAGAAGTGCGCATTTTGGAAAGCCATTCTGCTCTCACTAATAGCTTTAAGTGCATCATGAAGTCTTCACCCAGCCTATATTTGCCAGGAAGAAATAGACAAACCAAGCTGTTTGCATCATCATCTTCACTCCAGACCCGAATTAATGAGGCTTGCAGCCTTAATTGGGTGTTCCCTCCAAGAACGAGATTTTGTGCAGGCAGAAGCAGTTTAAAAATAGCCTGCCTCCTTCCAGGAGAGATGTACCAGGAACGAGGTATTGAAAAGGATGGAAATGGAGAGGAAGGTGGCAAAAAAGTCAAATTTTGCCACCTGGGGGCTTTGAGCTATTTTCTCGTTACTAGAAATCCTATACATCCACAGCTGTAGATACGGCCTTCAGCATTGCATGCTGAACCACAGCAAGGCAAATACTGAAGAAATATACACAGATGAAATTATTAAATTATTAAATTCAGCTTCTCTTTTGAGACTGCTGTTTTTCAGGTAAATAATATTTGGGCTAAATATTGATTCCTTTATCTAAAATACAGCCAGGTTTTCATGCCTCTGAGTGCTGTAGAGACACAAAAGTATCAGTCTGTCTCTCCTCTTCGATGCTCAGAAGACTCCACGTTAATCCTAACTTTCTTTCCACATAGCCACAAAAGAGGGCATGAATATATGTTTTTTTCCACAGATACCACTACAATGGACAGAGGCAAAATAACAGTAATCATGTAAAAATTAAGGTTTTTTTACTTCCAAAGTGACCTATCTGAAATGTAATTTGTAGCTGGAAAGAAAATGTCTAGAAAAACGACAGGAAGAAGTAAAACAAAAAAATCTTTGTAAGGCATAACTTCTATTTAGTTGCAGGCTCAAAACCAACGACCTTTTTTCTCCTCTCACTCACTTACTCAACACATTCACATTCACATGTATCTAGGCATAACTATATGTGACAAAACACTGCTGTTCCTGGCTCCCATAAAACCGGGCTTTGCTGCAAACATGCAAATGACCTATTTTGCAGATGTTTTGAGCTGACAGGACATGATAATGTTTACAGCATTTTTTAAGTAGCTGAAGGTTGTAGAGGAGTAACAGCACAAAGAGTACAATCATCAGCAGGGGAATAAAGGTAGCAGCTGGCTGACTTTTTCTGGAAGGTGTCTAGCAAATGAGCAATGCCAGGTGATGTAGGAAAGAAGCAGCATCTGTGTGCTGGTTGGCACAGGGAGGAACTGCCTGATGGATGGCTGCAATGGTATGGAAATAAGAAATGTTGCTGGAGAGGAAAAGGACAGGTGAACAGAGAAACATCAAGCCAGCTTGCTCTGTCTGAAGAAGAGACAGCATGGCTTCAGTTGTTCCCAATGTATTACTGCACAACCACAAGCAACCCAGAAACAGAAGTTATTCAGATCATACTTATGGAAGTCCTAAGCCTCGATCCCAAAAGGCTTCAAGCATATAGTTCCTTGCATTGTGGACTCACGACATTTAAATTCTCCCAGAGTGCCAGCTGAGAACACTGCTACTAGGAAAGAAAATCCTGGCTTTTGAGAACATAAGCGTGAAAGACATTCAAATAGCAATTAAAAGAAAAGGAAGTTTGAAGTAAAAGTTTGCCATGAGTTAAGTATATTCACTGTTGCTTACCTGTTTCTCTGGTGTGGAGATGGGTACCGGTGTACCTGGAGGGACTGCTGGTGGAGGTGGCTCCTCAATAGGACCTCTTGCAATTACCAGTTTCACTCGATTTCCACACTGCCTCAGAACTTGTGCCACTTGCTCACTGCTCATTCCAGCCAGGTCCGTATCGCCAATTTTCAAGATGTGGTCTCCACTACACAATCTCCCATGCTGGAGGAAGAATGGTGAAGAAAAAAAAAAAAATCTATTAACACCCTGCCATTTCTCCCACATACCATACAATTAGAAAAAGACCACATAGCTTTAGTCACTTTTAAGACATATGAACCAGGTGACTTTTTTTGGGTGCCAAGACAACATCCTGATAACACGGAGAAGAAAAGTAGGTTCCCTAATGGCGCACTAATTTTACTAGAAATTTCCCCAGAAACATCCAAGACATCCTTTTTCAAGCAGACACCCTAGCACAGAAAAAAATGCATATAGTTATGGTTACTACCTACTGCTATTTAACAACTGCATGTAGATTAGAGAACTTCAAGTTCCATTTCCGAACACACTTCCAAAAGACAGCATTCAAACATGTATTCAGCTTTACACTTCTATTTAAAAACTGGTCCTCAGGAGTAACTGTAACTTCAAAATAAAATACATTTCTCCCTTACTGTGATCCAGTTATTTATACTGCTTTACACCAGTATTTATACTACTCACCTAATGATTTACCTTTAAGCAATAAAAATGCTTCACATGGATTTAGCCCATATGAAAAGTATTAAAGAGACAGGTCTGTAAAAGGAACCCATCCACCTGATCAGGCAAAGAGCGCAGCAGTAAATCCTGTCCATGCATCTCCAGGCCCTGTTATCAGGCCACCACTTCTGTGGTCGGAAGACTGACCAGTCTCTGTGCCTGTTCAACCCTTGACTATCATTAACGCAGTCCTAGATACTCATCCAACTGACAAGCTTGAAATGGGCTGTGATCACCAAATTCAATTCTCATGAGCCCTTCAGGCAGGAGCAGAGCCCGTGTCCTGAAGCAGACACACGAAGCCACATGCCTGCTCCAAGCTTCAGTAAGCCCAGCAGAGTGAAGCAGATGCTCTTCTTAGCTGTCCAGGCAGAGTAAGTAAGTGTTCAGTGTGTCCCCCACACCTGGATTACAACCAGTATATTCATGAAAGAATTAGGAGTCTAAATGCATCTGCACCAAGCATGTATAATGTAACAGGTTTGAAAATGTGTTTTAGAGCCTAATCCAGCTTTTACATTCAAATGCACAGATCCCCTGCACTAAACACACCGTTATTGAGGACAAATTTCACCACTTGCTCTCTGTTTTCTACACTTACAAGGAAAAAAGCTACCACTACTTAGCATGATTATAAAAGTAAAGAGCAACTGCACATCTTACTGAACGTTAAACAGAAGGGTAGGTTGAATTTACCTGATCAGCCACCCCTCCTGGGAGGATGGTTTTAACAATCACGCCAGTTGACTTTCCTCCCACTATCCCAAATCCCAGACCTGAGCCATCGTTCACCAACTCAATGGTCTCCACATGCTGCCAGTGAACCTAAAAGGAATAAATATAAGCTTGCAAATGATTAAAATAAGGACAGACGTATTAAAGCTTGCAAAATATTTTCTCTTATTTCTTGGGTATGTTTTTGAATAAAGGAAGGTGGGAGTAAGGTGGAAATATGGCACCTTTTTAACAATTACTATTAGGTATAAGATTACATAATATTTAAGCAATAAATTGCTCATTCCATAACAGCCGGAATTTCTCTGGTACAAACCAGAGCTGGCTAGTGGGTCAGGCCTTTCAAGAACTTGCTGAACGAATTTAAGCAGCAACTTAGTACTATCCACCTACATGTCCCATTGCAGTCAGTGAGAAAAATACTGCTGCTAGGAAATCTCACAGGACTGGAAATTAAAATCTTCAGATAAGTGCACGTTCACATCAGCCATTATAACAAAAGCACAGGAGAAAGCATAAACCCAATTCAGAGGTTAAGGCTGAAAGCAGCACCAGGTATTGCGAGGTAGGCATTAGCAGACTTGCCCCCTCTGTAATGAACAAAGATTTCTGAGTTGTCTGACGTCAACAGCACTGGAATGAAGTAGCTCTGATGACAGGCTTCATGTTCTGACAGGATCAAAACTGCTCTGAAAGAAAGACAAACACTAGCTCACTTGCATGGGATGGTACGGAAGGGACAACTGGAAGCTCCTGATATTGTTTCTCCTGAAGAATAAACCACACTGTGGATTCATCTGAAATTTAAAACTGCAGCTGGTGCTCCATCAGGTAGGGTCTTGAAAATAAGCAGTTATTTTGGAATAATCAAGATGTCACAAATTCAAAGCCCTGTAGTACCTGTTTGGGAATCCACAGTCTTAACATAAACCAATGATGATCAAGCAAAGCCTGAAGGAAAAAGAACAGCTCCAGATAAGCTGTTTTCCCCCACAGCATTTGAAAGCAAAGGGAACACAAGGACTGGGAAAGGCATGCATAAAAAAACAGAAAGAGCTGTGGAAGTTTTGAAAAGAACACTTTTTTCAAGCCAGGGAAGCTGTTCAGAGAATATGGAGGCAATCACACAGAGAAAGAAGTGTGTCACAGGAATACTGGAAGAGACCAGGCCTCTTGACAGGCCTGTGCTGACAGGAAAAGTTAGGCCCATCAGCTTTATTCCTGCACACAGAAGAATGAATAATTCTGAAATTTCTTCACTAAAGGTTTTATGCTAACGATTAAAGTAAACACTAAAATATCTGCTTTTTCCAGACTGATTGCTCCGTATATTTCTAATTATGAACTCCCTTAGAGAAGAGCCACAGATGACTGAATAACGAAACCTACAGAAACCTAAGACAGGCCATTTCATCCCAGGACAAGCCATCTACACGAGTAAGGTATCAGCAAGAGAAAGTGCAGTTAATATCACCATGTTTCTGGGTTACATTCTCTACACCCAGATGTGCAAAAGCTTTAAAAAGAAAGAAAATGCAGTAGAGCTGTTTTTGGGGGATCCCAAAGCATGTCCTTACACATGGCATTTTGACTGCTCTCTCTTGTTGCTTTACTTGAGCGCCACTGCTAACAGACAACAGAGAAACAAACAGAGAAGCACCCATCCAGCCGGTGGTGCAGATCACATTGCAATGCCTCAAAAATTTCTGTTTGCCCAAGCAGAAGGCAAAGAGAAAAAAAGATCCTGTTTACTGATACCTCAAAATAAAGCTTCACAAAGTAAGGTAAACATGCTGTATTTGCATTGGTGGACACACAGAATTCAGCAAATGGGAAGAAGTAATATGTCCAAGATCGAGATTCCCCCCAGCAAGCCTGAATATTTTCTACTCTTTGCATGGGAAAAGGTACAACAAAGATAAATAGAAGAAAAACCTCAAGAACTGTGAAGGAAATGTACCTATAAGTTACAAAAAAAAAAGTCTCAAAATACTAGATGCAGTAAGTGCATACATGCCCAGAACTGAATACATAGATGTTTGGGGTATACTCACCGGGTTGGAATGGGCTGAAGCTGTGCTAGCAGCAGATGGAGACCGGGAAACTACAGGACTGATGAGCTGAGGGAAAGTGCCCCTGGCCACAACTAGCTGGACATTATCTTTTGCTTTCTGTAGGATGCTGATAGCCTGTTGATGTGTAATTGTCTGATCAAGGGCTTGTCCATTAATAGCAAGGATTTGATCTGCTTCCTTCAGCTTTCCATCTCTGTCACATATGTGTAAACAGGGAAAGGGGATGACAAAATAAACAAACAGGAAAAACCAAACAAGTGTTGCCACAGAAATTACAATATTTTGACAATTTTCCAGTATTTTTAATAACCTGTTCTCTATTCCCCCCACTTTTTAATCTCTCCCTGCAGTTTTGCTGAAAGGAGCTGATGCGGCACCCTGGTGATCGCTTCCTTTGAAGCTAATCCCCACTGCCACTCTCCCCTGGCTACTACCCCCTAGCTAGCTTTCTTCTCCCTGTACCCCCATGCGAGACTAAGCATATTAGATCTCAGTCGCTCCCAACCGTAGCCTGGGAACTTATGTTTATTCTTGACTTTGAGCCTTTTGCTTAACAGACCAAGTGCTCCACTTTGTTCAGTGTGCCCATCTTGAATATTCATCAAACTGCGGAGTGGAACACATTTTCATCAAGATGTTACAGAAACAAATTTTGTTTTGCACAAAACCAAGGGGGCGGGGGAGGGGGAGAAAAAAAGAAGGGAAGGCAGAGAGAGAGAAACAGAAAGAAAATGATAAAACAGATCCCTTTTAAATGAGGTAAAAAAAAGCCCTGAACAAATTAAAAAATAACTCTTCACTTTCTGACAAAGGAAGCACTACTGTAAAATTACATACTGAGCCTTTCCCCAGATCTACTTCAAAGGAGGTGTTATGAAGCCTGCACATATGAGTTACCCTCTGCCTCCTCCACCACTTCTATTCCTTCTGCAACAAACCAGCAAAAACTCTGGAGTCTTGTCTTCAACATCCCGAAGTGGCAATGCTTTGAAAACAAAGGGCAACAAAAAAAAAAAGGATCCCTACTACACCAGCTTTTGTGAGCACCTACAGTGTAGAAGCCAAGGTACTCAAGAGCATTCAGGAAAAACACTATTTAGCTTCAACCGATAATACTTCACTTGTGAATTTGAACTGTTTTTCAGAGTGCTGTCTAAGACTTATTACTGCCAGTGCCTTTCTGATTTATGAGCCCTGTAACAGTTGTTGAATGTTTCTCTTCTCGCCAGTGATTGGGCAGAGCCTGATTCAGTAAAGACAGGTCTCAAGTCCATGGAATAAGAGAAGTAAAAGCAAAGACCTCTTGAAGGGGAAGGGGTAAAAAAAAAAAAAGAAAAAAAAAAAAAAGAAGGAAAGTGGAATTTAGGCAGATTAAAAAAATATTGTAACAACACAGAGCATGCCACTTTCCCAAACTGAATTAACTCTGTAGGCCACGCTCTGCTCTCTGCTAAAAGTACAGTGTTCAGACCACAAATAATCAGAAAATTTCTCCCTACGGCACAGTGAGAAATAGCACCAAGATAACTCAGCTGCCCCACACAACATACAGAGTACACAACGAAGCAGCTCTGGCCAGGATCCTGATCAGCAAATCCACACACACTGATACACCCCCACCACTCTGCAGCAAACCAGTGCTGGTGCCATTCACCACTGAGTTCATTTGTTCCCTCAGGCTGTTCTTACAGCAGAAATCCATTTCTCTCAATACTACTTGTGGAATCATGATTAAAGTCTAAAGCATACTTTCAGCAAGCTATTATTATTGCTGAGTTTCTGGTAACATCAGCTGAATATCTCTTTTTAAGAGTCCAACAACTTTAGGTCAAGCCTTGCTTGACTTAAAAGCTGGGTTTCACACCTACTCAGTGGGACTCACCAAACAACCCTACTAGTTACAACCGATTTTTTTGCACCAAATTGTTTTTCAGTGCATTCAAGGATGGTAAAATCTGTATTTCAGCTTTAAAAGCCATGACACAGAACAGTAACCTCCCTGTCTTCCCTGTTGGAAAGACGATATTACAAACAAACCACAGAAAAACTACATCTGTAGTTTCCAGAAATTCAGAACAGATCATATGCTGCCCTGTTCCAAAGTTACATAAATTGTAGTGATAAGTAATTTTAAATCTGCTATGATGTATGTCTTCAAATATGAAAGAAACGTGCCCTTGTACAACAAAAACAACAGCAATAACACAACTAAATTGCAGTGTCATGTTAACACTTGGTACAGTAAAATATTCCAGTAGTAATCTTACCTATGTGCCACACTTCCCTCCTGGATTTCTTGCACAAATATTCCTAGTTCTCCCCTGTTTTCACTCTTAAGTCCCACGACACTGAAGCCCAGACCACCACTTAAAGGTTTAATAAGCTCAATGGTCTCAACAAGACGACCCTGTTCAGTAGAAGGAAAAAACGGGGTACAAATGTTAAAAATGTTGAAAAGCAGCATTAATGAATGTGGTAAAGAACTTGGAAATGAGTTTCCAATTTGACAGCTACAGTAGGACAAGGCTACACTAGCTAATAACTGAAACATAGTTGTTCAGTTCTGATTTCTCGCTATCATACAGAAAAGTGACAATTATGAAAGATTCAAGAAATAAAGATTATTACAGCCAAGATGAAATCAGGAAACAGCAGCTAAGTATACAGAGTTTAGGCTTAGTAGTGACTGCACCAGGATATATGTGTCTATAAAATTTTAGACAGTATAGGCCAACTTTCAAGCAGAACTAGAAAAAGAGGACGAATTTTAGTATGAAAGAAAAAGCAGGACTGTGCAAAAGGCTCTCCAGGAGAAGAACAGAAGACTTCCTGTATCTGGTTCTATTACAGGTTAATTAGAAAAATGCTAGAATATATGCCTGGCCATTCTCAGCTCCAGCCACTGAAGGGACTCATACACCATTTCTGCCTACCACCAGAAAGCAGTAAAATTACAGAACAATGCGCAGCAAGGCCAAAAAGGAATTTTCCATCTTATTTCCAAGCAAGTCACAGAACTAGCTTTCATTAGTTATGCATACAAGAGCATGCTCTGACAAAGCATCTCCCTCACGCACAGAGCAGCAGTCCTACAATGAGCACGGAAAGATAATGGCATGCCTATCTGTGAGAGGCATGCTGCTCAGCTAAGGACAGTAACTCAGCAGTGATAATGTCAAGGCTACTTTTCCAACTTTTCTCATTTACCAATCGTTCCTCAAATTAAAAGGTTATTTTTGGTTTACATAGCAAGTGAGCTCTGGTTTGCTTAATAACTCAATTGCTTTTAAATAAACATACATGTATTTTAATCTTCCAGATAATCAGTGATCCACTTTTCGTGGTTACCAGACAACATGCTTACCTGGGACATATTTCTGATCAGCTGCTCAAAGTCATCACTAGAGGACTTCCCATTAATCTGAGGAGTAATGGATCTCATCGATGCTTCTAGCACATTAGCTGGGCTGGAATTCTGCTGAGCCAACAAATATGACTCATTATGTGGCAAGGACCCCACGTTCACACCATGATGGAGAAGCTGGGGGAATTCACCAGTGGAATGTATGGAAGGTGTAATATTTACCTGTAAAAGTTTGATGGCAACACAGATTTATAGACATAGCAGAAACCTCCTCCTTACCCAAGAGCATCACGATAGGCCAATTGCTTGTTAAAAACATTTGAAATACCAATTTTCAATTTTAAAAAGACATTTTAAAAAGAAAAAATATCTTCATTATTTATAATCAATGTAAAGCTGTGAGTTATCAGCATAAAACATGAAAGAAATTGATAAAAATAATCTAAAATTATTTTCAACACTCTGCCTAGAATTCTTTTGTTCATATCAGCAAAGCAGCTTGAGGTACTCCAACACAATGGTAGAGGTAAACAAGTATGAACAAGCTTTTTCTACAATACCAGTATTTTTAAAAACAATTTTATCCATTATTTCATAAGAAAATAAAAAAAAAAAAAAGACTACGTGTATTTTCATGAAAAAAGAAAGAAACCTCACCAGCTACGTAGGGAACAAATTTCAGTGGTCGGGGTTTCTGCATGACTATGCAGAATGCTGCCAGTGTGACTCTCTGCATAAGCTAGAATTAAATACAAAATTACTGAACAAGTCTAAAATCACCAGGGTGATCTGAAAACCACCGTCGTACCTTTACACAGACAGCCTTGACAATACACTTCTCTTACAGCAGAAAAGAAAATAAGAAAATTCTCTGCTTTGCAATATTGCAGCCTCAAATACTTTTCATAGTTTTACAATGCAAATTTTCTAGCATTCTGCACCACAATACAAAAGACTGGGATCCTCCTTCCTTGAAGACTTATTTTTAAACTTCAAGTATCAATAAAAAACTTCAAAACTCTAAATGTATTCTAAAACGTCTATTGTACCAGTCTCAACTGTTTAAGCATGCTACTTCCATTAGGTTTATCATATTCTCCCAACAGTCCAGTCATCAAAAGTTCAGTATTGTTCTCCATCACACATTTCCTTCTCATCTGGGTGCTTTAGGAAAATATAATAGAACAAATATCATTGGCTGAATGCCTTCTGTGCCTGGGAAGACTCTCAGGTTACAGAAAAAAATACCACATGACAGCACTGGAAAGAAAAGTCCTCAACAGCACTTAGCCTGCTCTGCCATAAAAAACTGCAGAAGAAAACGAGGATGTTTGGAACTCAGTGATTTCCATCACACAGTGATCACTTTATGTTGTCCATAAGTGTGAGGAATCACTTGGGTTATGTTTCAAACAAATCATAATGCCTAAAACGTGCGGACAAGCACTTTCTTTAATCACATATAGTCATTTCAGCAAGCCTGTAAGGGACAGGTAGATAAGCCTTGTTTCACAGTTCATTACATGTAACACCCAGAGACGTTATCAAAAGCTGCCCTTCCATGAATGCAAGATTTCCCCTTACATTATATGCATGGATTTGAAACTAATAAAGTCTATGCCATACTGTGTTTCTTATCTGCATGAGTCCATATAATAGTTTAATTCACTTCCACCTTCCCAATGTCATTCATTTCAATGTATAAAAATATGTCAACTGAACTTGGTCAATTAATGTGCTTCATTTCTTGTTCTCCTCCACCTTTGAATATTCTTATACATCCCGCTGCCATGTTCCTTCCCACTAAAAATTGTCATGCGTCAAATTATTATTTGTAAGAGTATCTAACACCACTGTAATTCGCCAGTCTTGCACTGCTTCTATTTAAAAGCATTTTTACATTTCCACGGCAAGATAAAGCAGCCTAAGAGTATATGAGATGCAAACCCAAACTACTTCTCATGTGCACTCAAAGACCATAGTATATGGGTCTGATATCACAAAGGTTAGTAAGTCATGGATATATGTTTGTTTTCTAAATTGCAGTGCTCATTGTAGAATAGCACCAAAACCTGCCCTTCCTGCTGCAGGTTACCATCCTCAGCGCTCCCTTGGTG